CTGTCTAGCGTCCACCCATACCGCGTTGGTGTCCAGTCCGAGCCTGGCTGTTATTCACCTTTCTACCTACCTACCGTACGCTCTCAAGGCCGAACCCCCCCCCCCCCCCCCCCTCTCCAGTTCAGATCACGACCCCCACGGAGGGGGCCGGACGAGGCGTACCCCGAGGGCCCCGCTCTTTCCCGGAAGCGGCGCGCGCGCGCACACACAAAGACGCTGCCCCCTCATGCCCCGCACCGCACATCCTGAGGGAGGGTGTAGAGGATGTAGAGTGTAGAGCGCTGTAGAGTTGTAGAGATGTAGAGCGCTCTGGAGTGCTGTAGAGCTGTAGAGCTCTACATCCGCCGCGGGACGAAGTGCCTGCGTTGTATAGCGATGTAGAGCGCGATTTTGTTGTAGAGTTTGTTGTAGAGGCTCTACAGCCAAACCGCCGAGAAGGCAGTGACTCAAAGAGGTCGAGTCGCACTAATGGGGTGTCTCTGAGCTTCGGCGGGCTGCGGGCTCGGCTCGGCGGGCTGATCCTCCTTGCACTGAGAGACGAGCTGCGCCCAGGCGCCGCTCTCGCGCATGCGAGAGAGCGCGCGGGACACGTTCATTTTGCCGGTCCCGGCGTCGCGCGCAGCGTGTGCGGCGACGAGCTTGTCTCCTCGAGCCTCGGCCTCGGCGAGCAGCTGCAGAGCGCGGTCCACCTTGGCCGCAGTGTCCGAATCCTTCCCTTCCGTGTAGCTCGTCGGAGCCGAAACCCTAGAGGGGTTGTGGGGAGGTCAGCAGGCGCGACGGGCGAGTCTCGCCGCGGTAGTGCGCGCCGACGGGCCCGCGCGCTGCTCTCGGCCACGTCGCCAGAGGCGCCAGTTGATCCTCCTGTGCAGGAGGCATCGATTGTTACAACTTGAGCGGCGAATCGCGAGCGTCAGCCGAAGTGGCGGAGCTCACCAGCCTGCGTCGACATCGCCGATGGTGGCGAGCTTCTCGCCGTGGTCGGGGCGATGCAGGAGCTCGCTCGCAGCGTGTCGGGCCGAGCCGTGCGATCAAGCACAGGGCGAGTGAGCGCCGATTGTTACGATTCGGCGCCGCTGGGAAGAATCCGATCGCGTGGAAAAAATAAAGCTAGCGAGATATATCTGACATATCTGACTCTGAAATTATTAAGTTTGAGCCACACGCGCGGCGCGCTTGCGACGCAAAAACCTTTGCCGATCCGGTCTATGGGCTGCGGGACGAGCAGGCAAAGTTGGGCGCTCCGAGCGTCTTCTCGGCGAGAACGAGCGGGGGCTGTGCATCGTCCGGGGGGTGACTGAGAGGGAGGTGGTCGTGAGCTCACTTTGTCGGCCGCGCGCGAGGTGAAAACTGAGTGTGAGGCGCGCAGGAGGCGAGGGTGGGCGCGCCGGCGGTCGAGCCGCCGAACAATTCGACGTGGCGCAGCTCCGCGCCGGCGGGCACGACCGAGCAGATGCTGTCGGCGGCGGTCACGCGACGAGGGAGAGCCGCAGGAGCCCTCTGTGGAGCAGGCGCGCGAAAGCAGCGATGAGTGGCGCTTCGTCAGCCACCTGTGGGCGGTCATCGGGGTGACGTCACACCTCAGCGAGCTGGATCCGGGAAGGGCATGGGGTCACGCGGGCCCTGTCTGCAGCAGCAGTGCTAACTAAAACGACAAAATTCCGGATGGACCGGAGACTGTCTACTCTTTCGGCGCACCGTCCTCGACCGCGCTGAAAAGCTGGCTGGTGGTCGCCGCAGCGCGTCGGCGCGACTCCAACTGGTTGGGCACCTCGGCTGGGTCCATCAGCAAGAGGCCCGCGCCGTCGGGCGGCCCCGGGAGCGCATGATGCCCCTCCGAGAGGCGCTGACGCCCCGCCGAGATCGCGCTGGTTTGGCACGAAAAACACGAGGCGCCAAGGGGGGGGGTCAAGTATGGTACCCTAGAGACGTCTACGAGGGCGAGTTCAAGGCGGGTAAGAAGGAGGGGCGCGGCGTCTACCGGTACGCCAACGGCGACGTCTACGACGGCGAGTGGAGTCGGGCTTCTACAAGCAGGGTGCGCGCGTCGGCGAGGGCGTCATGTGGGTGGCGGACGGGCGGCGGGCGGCGCGGGTGCGTGACGGGAAGGCGGTGGAGATGATCTCGCTGGAGGAGGCGCGGCAGACCGTTGAGCGGCTCGGGCTCCCCCTCCCCTCCCCGCTGCCCGGCGCGGCGTGAGAGGCAGCACTCTTAGCGAGAGCACCCGTGGAGCACATGTTCTCTGTGCGAGAACCGAGCCGCGACCTATCTCTTTTGCGTTGGCGGCGGCGGGGGCAGGCTGCCGGTCCCCGCCGGATTCCTTCCGGGGCGGGACCGGAAGTTGGGCCCGAGGGGCCCGGGGGGGGGGGGGGAGATGGATTCCACGGCGTCTTTTCTTGAGGGGAGTGTCCGGCCTGGTGGAGGGTCGGGCTCGGGGGCGCCCAAACGGCACGCATGTACTGATCCAGAAATTAAAGTGCGACTGAGTCACACTGAGCGGAACGTCGCGCGGCCGGTGAAGATACACAAGATCCGGCGCCCCCACCACCCTCCGGCCCTCCGAGTCTGGAGCTTGCTCTCAGGCAGCGGCAACCGGAGCCGCTGCGGCGCCATCGAGTGAGAAGGTGACGAGCATCGTCAGCGACGCCGACTCGTACGCGCCGCGGACGAGCGGCGCGCCTAACCTCGGCCGATCTCAGCTCGTCTGGGGAGGAGGAGAGGAGGAGAGCTCTGTACGGCGCAGCGCTGAGCGGCGCGCCCGAGAGAGGTAGAGAGCTAACGAGAGAGAGAGAGAGAGAGAGAGAGAGAGAGAGAGAGAGAGAGAGAGAGAGAGAGAGAGAGAGAGAGAGAGAGAGAGAGAGAGAGAGAGAGAGAGAGAGAGAGAGAGAGAGAGAGAGAGAGAGAGAGAGAGTCTCTCACTATATCTAGATACCATTACTAGCGGCGCGCCTCGGACAGAGAAGCCGGTGCCCGGTCTCTGCAGCGCCTGCTTCCTCAGCTTGAGGCGCTGCCCCGCGCAGAGCTGAGCGCTACCCGCGTCGAACTCGACCTGCGGCGAGATGCGGCGAGATGCCCCGAGATGCGGCGAGATGCGGCGAGATGCGGCGAGATGCGGCGAGATGCGCCGAGATGCGCCGAGATGCGCCGAGATGCGCCGAGATTCGAGCTGGTGAGAGGAGAGCTCGACGCCTGCACTGACTGGCGCCCGTCATAGGCGAGGCGGGAGAAGCGGCCGCACTCGCTCTGGACGTAGAGGCCGAGCGGCTCGAGGTAGGCGGAGATGCGGTACGCGTCGCGTGGCTCAATCGCCACGCCTCCTCCCCCTCCACCGCCGCCCTCTTGCATCGCCATCGCCACGCCTCCTCCCCCTCCACCGCCGCCCTCTTGCGGCGTCGCGACGCACAAGAAGCAAAGCGGGCCGAGGGCAGCGTCGACGACGTAGTACGCGCCCGTCTCGAGCGCGTTGCCGAAGAATCCGAGGCCGTAGTCGCCAGAGTGCGGGTCGAAGGCGCGCATGTGCGGCGAAGCGTGGTACATCATTGACGTCGCGCCGGTGGCGGGATCGATGTTGACGAGCTGGCCTGTTCACAGCTGCAGGTGTGAAGAGGCGCTGTTCACAGCCGGTGGCGGGGCCGATGTTGACGAGCTGGCCTGTTCACAGCTGCAGGTGTGAAGAGACGCCGTTCACAGCCGGTGGCGGGGCCGATGTTGACGAGCTGGCCTGTTCACAGCTGCAGGTGTGAAGAGGCGCCGTTCACAGCCGGTGGCGGGGCCGATGTTGACGAGCTGGCCTGTTCACAGCTGCAGGTGTGAAGAGACGCCGTTCACAGCCGGTGGCGGGGCCGATGTTGACGAGCTGGCCTGTTCACAGCTGCAGGTGTGAAGAGGCGCTGTTCACAGCCGGTGGCGGGGTCGATGTTGACGAGCTGGCCTGTTCACAGCTGCAGGTGTGAAGAGGCGCTGTTCACAGCCGGTGGCGGGGCCGATGTCGACGAGCTGGCCTGCCATGGCCCCCATCGCCACCTCGAGGAGGAAGGCGCCTTCCTCAGGGTGGCGGCGGTACCACTCGATCAGGGGGATCATGTTTAGGCCCGCGCGGTAGTGCCTGGAGAAGAGGGGACACGCGGCGGGGTCGGCGGGGGGGGGGGGAGGCCGCATACTGTCGTCGGACTCGCCCCCGGCGCGCGCATCTGCCCGCGGTCTTGCACGCCGGTGCCAAAGGTGGCGAGGTACTTGCCGTTGTTGCCGACGTCGCCCCACGAGCGCGCGCCGCCGTGGTAGGGCCAGGTGGGCGACGAGCGCATGTAGGAGAGGACGTGATCGACAGTGAGCTTTGCGGCGGTCTCGTTCCCAAAGTACAGGTTCCACACCACCACCTGCGGAGGGATGGGGGAGAGAGGGGGAGCTAGGATAGACGAGCCGACGTTGGCCGGTGGCGTCGAGGAGGTGTCTAGGAGGTGTGGAGGTGTCTGGGAAGTGTCTAGAGGCGAGCGGACCTCTTCCTGGCCGGTGGTGTCGAAGCCAAACTCGGAGCCATAAGGGTGCGGCGTGACGGCCCACCGCTGCTGCCGCCGCTGCATCTGCCCGCGCAGCTGCGCCCCGATGGCAGCGAGCGTCGTGTTTCCGGCTTCGCCCTCGACTAGCAGGGCGGCCAGCACCTCGCGCGCCACGGTTCCGTCCATGAAGCCGACGTTTGAGGTGCCCAGCTTGAGCGCCGTCTTGCCGGCGCGGTAGAGGTACCAGTGCCAGTCGCGCGCCGTGGGGAGGGTGGTGTGGCGCGCCACGTGGTACATCGCCCAGTAGGAGGAGATCTGGTGCGGGTAGTTGAAGCCGCGGTAGGTTGCATTCGCCATGGTCTCGGTCATGCACCAGGTTGGCCCCCCGAACGGCTTGTGGCACTTGTCCGCCTATTCACGGCTGCAGGTGTGAAGAGACGCTGTTCACAGACCCCCCCGAACGGCTTGTGGCACTTGTCCGCCTCGGAGTACCTAGGAGGGTGGGGAAGGTGCTCAGGCTGTGAGGTGAGGTGAAGACACACACGAGGTGGCGGGGCAGGGGAGGGGGGGGGGGTTGGGCGGGGCTGGTCCCTCGCATCTCCGGACACGGGCAGGAGCCGGCACGGCATTCAACGTGCAAGCACTGGCCCGGCATGTCCCCTCCCAGACGTCCCTCTCCTTCCCTCCCGCAAGTGCCCGCTGCGCCTCCACGCGAAGTGCCCGCTGCTCGCGTCGGAGCAGGGGGGCGCCCCCTTTGGGCCGCTGCAGTTGTAGTAAAACATCGTCATCCGCACCCCATCCTCGGACTCCGCGTCCGCCTCCCCCGCCGCCACCTCCTCCTCCCGGATCTGCAGCGACTTGAGCGGAGGCGACGCCGTGTCGGGCTTGACACCGTACAGCGTCCAGCGGATGTACCTATTCACGGCTGCAGGTGTGAAGAGACGCTGTTCACAGCCCCCCGGTACAGCGTCTAGCGGATGGTACTCGTCGACGCGGGACGCCTCGTGCGCCGTCGGCGCCGCGCGCACTTTCGCGGCGAGGCAGAGCGGGTTGCCCCCCCCGGCGTCGTCCGAGAGGCCCGCGTCGTACGCGCGCGCGTCGTTGAGGACGTGGCCGCACGGCTCTCCAGAGTAGGGGCAGATCGAGCGGTCCCATGGCATCACGGAGGCGGACCGGCCGAACGGGTCCGGGTACTCGCGCGGCAGCCACGCCACATCGGCGAGGTGGGCGCCGAGCGCGGCGACTTGGCGCTCAAACGGCGGCAGGACGTAGTAGTGCGCGAGCGCCTCTGAGCCGTCGGAGAAGGCGACGCGGAGCCGCGCCTCACCGTAGCCCGCCGCAGTCAGGCGGACGGGGACGAAGCCGCTGGGGAGGGGCGCACGCAGCGTGGCATCGAGGGTGGCGGTGTCGGCGCCGGAGGGAGGGTCGGCGCGGGCGGACGAGACGGTCGCTCCGGCCGGCGGCTGAACGAAGAGCGTGCCGGGCAGGTGCGGCGAGAGGACGTACCCTGGCACGGCGCGCAGCACGGCGGAGCCCATCTTGGCGAGGGCGGCGTCGCGCGTGCGCGGGCCGGCCTCGGCCAGCTGGAGGCGGAGGGCGATGGAGGAGGTCTCGCCCGGCCGGAGCAGGAGAGTCGTCGGGTCGACCCACGGACGCGCCGCGCCGCCGCCGGAAGCGGCGAGCCGCGGCATCGCGCGCTTGCCGTCGGTGGTCGGCCACGGCGTCTCTGGGTCCGTGGCGAAGGGGGGGTACTGCTGCTTGAGCGAGTCCGACATGGCGAGGTGAGGCCACTGCGTGTTGTTGGCCTAGGTGGCGAGATATGGGGAGATATGGGGAGATATGGGGAGATATGGGGAGATATGGGGAGATATGGGGAGATATGGGGAGATATGGGGAGATATGGGGAGATATGGGGAGATATGGGCAGCCTGCGTTGTGAGTACGCCACCCTCGGGGCGGGAGATATGGGGAGATATGGGGAGATATGGGCAGCCTACGTGGTGGGTACGCCACCCTCGGGGCGGGAGATATGGGGAGATATGGGGAGATATGGGCAGCCTACGTGGTGGGTAGGCCACCCTCGGGGCGGGGGTGCGGTGCTGTGCGGTGTGTGCAGAGCACCGCCGCGTCGATACGAGGGGCCGCGAGTGCAGAGAGTGCAGCGGAGTGGAGCGGAGTGCAGCTGAAGACGTGTCCTCTCGTAGCGCTCTCCAGCGCGAGTTGGACTCCGAGAGCACGTGCTCCGCTTCTAAGGCTGCTCGCCCACTCCGCCGCCCAGGCCGCCGACGCGACGACCCACTCGTACGCGTCTCCGCCGCCCAAATCCTCCATCATCGGCCTCCACGCCTCGAGCGGGCTGCTGATGCGGTCGGCGGGAGTGACAAGGAGTGTCGCCTACAGGAAGGTTCCAGGAACGGTCCAGGAAAGGTCCTGGAAGAGGTCGGCGGGCGTGACCAGGAGTGTCGCCTCGTCGCCCACCACTCGGACAAACTCGACCCAGCCGTGCGCGCCTGTGGAGAGGGAGGTGTGAAGAGGGAGGTGTGAAGAGGGAGGTGTGAAGAGGGCAGGTGTGAAGAGGGCAGGCGTGAAGAGGGCAGGTGTGGAGAGGGCGGGTGTGAAGAGGGAGGTGTGAAGAGGGAGGTGTGAAGGGGCGGGTGTGAAGAGGGCAGGTGTGAAGAGGGCGGGCGTGAAGAGGGCAGGGGTGAAGGGGCGGGTGTGGAGAGGGCAGGCGTGGAGAGGGCAGGCGTGAAGAGGGCAGGTGTGAAGAGGGCGGGTGTGAAGAGGGCAAGTGTGAAGAGGGAGGTGTGAAGAGGGCGGGTGTTAAGAGGGAGGTGTGAAGAGGGGAGGTGTGAAGAGTGCAGGCGTGAAGAGGGCAGGCGTGAAGAGGGAGGCGTGAAGAGGGAGGTGTGAAGAGGGGAGGCGTGAAGAGGCAGGTGTGAAGAGGGGAGGCGTGAAGCGAGGTGTGTGAAGAGGGAGGCGTGGAGAGGGAGGCGTGAAGCGAAGTGTGTGAAGAGGGCAGGGGTGAAGAGGGGAGGTGTGAAGAGGGCAGGTGTGAAGAGGGCGGGTGTGGAGAGGGAGGCGTGAAGCGAGGTGTGTGAAGAGGGAGGCGTGAGGAGGGGCCATGCGGAGTGAGCCGCGCCTCCTACGTGAGCGTCGTTCCAGACCACCGACTCGATGCCGGCGGGAGGGTGGCCGGGGCTCTCCGGCATTGCAAGCCCGACCGCGCCGACCTAAGGCAAGGTGAGGTGAGGTCAACGTCTCCACACACACGAGGTGGCGGGGCGAGGGCCAGGCTAGCCCCTCGCGTCTCCACGTCTAGACGACACGGCATTGGCAGTGCAAGGCCCGGTGCGCGTGGGTGAGGTGTGTGTGCGTGCGCCAACCTCGACCGGCGACCGCCCGCCGTTGGTCAGGTTGAAGCGCAGCACGAGGGCCGCGCCGTCCGCAGACCGCTCGTACGACCGCACCACCCGCAAGCCGGCGGCGGCGGCGGAGTTGGCGGAGTTGAGAGAGAGGGCGTCGGCCGGCGCCGAAGCCTTGAGCATAGCACTCACCTCTTGCGCCGCCAGCACGGTGCCGCCGCCCGGCGCCGGCGCCCCCGCCGCCGCAACCAGCGGTGTGGCCGGTGCGGCAAGGGCGATGGTGGAGAGTGCCAGCCAAGGAGTAGCGCCTCCTCCTCCTCCGCCTCCGCCTCCGCCTCCTCCTCCGCCGCCGCCGCCGCCGCCGCCTCCGCCGCCTCCGCCGCCGTCACCGCCTCCGCCGCCGCTTCGGAGGCGAATGGTGAGGTCTCCGAGATGGGCACACAGCGGCAGGGTCGAGCTGCCGTCCAGAGGGCGCGAGAAGGACCAGTCCTCGCCCGTGCGGGACAGGTTCTGCACCGAGAAGTAGTCGCGCCGAAGGCGGAGGGAGAGGCGCGAGGAGCCGCCGACCGGCAGGGTGGCCGCGGGAGGCGTGACTGGCGCGGACTTCAGCATGGTCGACCAGCCGGGCGAGCCGCTGACGGCGTCCCCAATCTTGAAGTAGGCGCGCACGGAGCCGCTGGTGGCGTTGGAGCCTCGGAACGAGACGCCGCGGCAGGCTGAATTGGCGCTACACCGCTCCAGCGCCTCGCGAACCGGCAAGACTGCGGCCGGCTCGACGTCACCGCCTGGGTCGGTCGGTACGGCCGCGGGCGTGTCATGGACGAGTGGAATCGTGTGTTGTAGCGCGGGCGTCGTGCTGTGTATGTTGAGGACGACTGGCGTCGAGAGGGTGCACGTAAAGAGTGATTGGGTGGCCGAGCGAGGCTGGCATTGCCAAAAGGCGGTGACGATCCAGGAGGGCACGCACCTGCGCCGAGGAAGCCTTCACTCCAGACGTACTCGAAACGGGCGCCAGGAGCCGAGGCGAAGGCAGGAGGAGGCGCGGACTGGACGTTGCGGTCGGAGGAGGGCGCAAGAGGAGGGGTCGAGGGCGGGAGTGTCGACGAGAGGGTGCTGTAATGCGGAGCGGCGGCTGTGGCGCTCCAGACCAACACGATGACCGACATACACATGTATTTCACAGAGGTAAAATGAGGCATTTTTTTTGGTAAAATTACACTGTGAAAAGACAGAAAAAGAGAGAAAACTCGCGCGCAGCGCGCGTAGGCGGCGCGCAGCGCCGCCGCAGGCGGCGGACAGCAGGTGCGCAAAATTAAACGCCGCCCTGTTGGGTCTTGCTGGGTGTTGTGTTGTCCTCGTGGGATGTAAAAATGCTCTGATTTCGTAGCATGGTGGAGAAGAGATCAGAATTAAAGCAAGCGCAGCAACTCTCTTCCGACTCGAGAAAACCAGACGACCCATTCGGGAGTTTTCGCTCCTGCGGCGCCCCTCCGTCAAACTCCCACGCCGTCATATCACACACGGTTGCACAACTACTCGACAGATGACACCGGGCTTGCCCACGGCAGCGCCGTGCATGCTAGATACTAGACACCCGGCCGGGGCTCCGACCGCCGTTCGCGCCCGCCAGCGCTGCGCGCGACGGCGCCAAACTCTTCCAACGAGGTGGCCGAGCCGAGGGCCTGCCCCTACTTGCGCGAGTTGACGACGAGGCAGAGGGGGAGGCAGATGAGGAGGACGACGAAGCCGCAGACCTGGAGGGCGTACGACCAGAGCCTCGCGGCCGCTGTGGGAGCCTCCGCGGAGGAAGGAGACCTGATGTTACCTTCAGCGAAGAGCTCAGAGCTTGTGCGTACCACGCCCATAGCACAGTCTTTCAGAAAGTCCGAGCGGCATCCTCCGACAGTGGCAGAGCTTCCTCCGGGAGTAAGAGGCGCATTATGAGAGTATGTGTTTGCGGGTTGCACATCCGCTGGTGACAACTGGAGTGTGGGGTGCGGTCGTGCGACGTGCGTAGCCGAGTTCAATATTAACGGGCGGGGTACGGCGGGAGAGGCGCAAACTCGGATCTCTTAAGAGCCTGACTGGCCCTGGAAGTCCCGGCGCGTCCGCACACCGCAGAAAAAAGTCGTGGACTCATAAGGTTCGACGTAGTTCGGGTGTATCGCGCCTTGCCAGAGGACTTCGGCGACGGCGAGCGAGGAGTCCAACCGGGCGATCGCGACAAGCCGCGGGGTCCGCATGAAATGGTCGTGGTTCACGAACCCTCTCGCCTCAGGCAATGATTCCCTCATGGGTCTGTTCACGCTGGCACTCGCTGCGGCCCCGCTGGGCGCGTCGCTCGTTGCCATCTGCCTGTCCCAGGCCTGCGTGTGGAAGCGGCGACGGATGCATGCAAACGAGCGCTTAGACACTCAGCTCGACGAGCTGCAGTCCCGCCTGAGAGAAGCGCTGGCGGTAGATCGCGCCGTCCGGCTGCGCACCACCGCCATCAGCCTCAGCCTTTCATGGGCATGCCTGTGCCTGAGCTCCTCCAGCCTCGAGAGCCGGCGAGTGGACCACACCACGTACAATGCCACACATTGGGACTATGGACGAACGCTCGTCGACTTCCTCAATCACCTAGAAAGCGGATACAGTGCTGAGCAAAAGAGAATGCGCAAAGACAATGCGCTCGGAGAATTGGTTCGAAAGGCTGGTTGGACTACGGCTCCGTTCACCAAATTCGCAGCTCCATTCCCTCCGGCTCCGCCGTCAGAGCCGCCTCATACACCACGGCAACCTCCGTCGCCGCAGCCGCCGCCGCCGTCGCCGCCGCCACCACCGTCCCCGCCGCCAGACCGCGACTGGGAGCTACATCGCGGCGAATCGTGCCCCGGCACGGTCCTAGACAACGAAATGCCGCAGTTAGCCGCAAAGCAAGCAAAGCAAGCATGCATCGACAACACAAGATGCTTGTCAGTCGTGTGTACAGCCCATTCGATGAACTTCTGCTCACTCCGCGACTCGAATGACTTGGTCCGGTATCTTCCCGAGGCTTGCTTTATCTTCAGACCGAGACGAAAGCATGCCCAACTGGTCGACTATCGGACGCCAATCTCACCACCACTGCCACCGCACCCACTGCACCCACCACCGTCACTATCGCCGTCATCCTACACCCTGTTTACCGACTTTCGCTCACCACCACCGCCACTGTTGCTCGGAGACTTTGACCATGGTGGAGGAAGCGGGTTGGGGCCAGTTAGAGATTCTTACTACGGCGACTATGGCGTCCACAAGCTGCCGGACGGCCACGGCTGGATTCAGGCGTACGCACCCGGAGATGGCGTTTCGACCGAGGTCGTTGTCTATTCCAGCAACGGCGATGCAGAGTTCACTGCCGCCATAGGCCAACATGACTACCGTCGTGGGCGACAGCTCGGTGGCTTGCTAACGCACTGCGAGGTCCGCTTTACCGTAGCACAGTCCACCTGCCGCCAGTGGGCCACGGAGAAGCCCCTGATTGCAAACTTTGTCGGCCCGGCGGGAGTGGCGTGGCTGCCTCCCCGGCTGCTGGCATGCCTCCTCGGAGCCGTCTGGCCCTTCTTTATGTTGCTTGCCCTCCGGCCTATCGACACCGCCTTTGTGCGGACCCACCTGCGGGCCTGGAGCCGAGAGGGCCCGCAAGAACACCCGAGGCTGTTCAAGATAGGTGCGAATCAGCTGCCTCCTCGTGTGTGCCCTGCTTGGCGCCTGGCCGCATCCACCGCCACCACGAGCGGGCATGCGACCCGATCAGCACGCGGACTCCGCTGTAGGCGTTGCCGTGTTTGGAAACCTAATGTCGCAGCACTTCGCCCTCATTCCCCTCTACCAGCTGGGCCGCCACCATGGAATGCCGTCACAGATGCTGCGGGCGGTCTTCGCGTACGTATGGGTCTCGCTTGCTTACGGGTTTCTGCTCTGGGCGGCGTACCACTTTGCGGCGGCACTCAGCCTCCCGCCTCGCCGCGCGATCAGCGTCGCATGGACCACTTTCGCAACCTGCTTGCGGTGGTCGTCGCGCATCACGCTGGGCTACCTCGGTTTCGATTTTGCCATTTTGTGGGTCGACCGCGGCGCCGTTCCGCCGGACCTGTCCCCCTACGTCATGATGGCTGTCTTCCACGCCCGCGCCCTCACCCGCGTCGTCGGTGCCGACCTGCTCGCACGTGTCCTCACCCCCTCTGTCCGCGGGCGCCTCTTCCGCGCGGTCGGAGGATTTGGCCAACCCGCCAGCTCCCGTGGGCTCGCCGCCATCGCCGCGCTGGTGACGCCCGCGCTGAACGGCTGGAGCGCGCGACGATGGTGCTCGGCGTTGCGTCGGACTGGCCGAGGAAGCGTCGAGGCGAACGTGCTGGCGGCCGCAGGCCGGTTTCGCGGCCTCCCGTGGTCTGCACTCGAAGCTCACCACCTCAGCTCGTCGCTCGGCTCCGCCGAGCTGAGCGCGGCAGCAGCGCCTGTCGAGCTCGGCGGTGTCGACGCGTTCATCAGCCACTCGTGGAGCGACGATGGCGACGCCAAGTTCATGGCGCTGTCTCGCTGGGCGGCTGAGTTTGAGCAGCACGCGGGAAGAGAGCCCGTCTTGTGGCTGGATAAGGCGTGCATCGATCAGGACGACATTGACGCGTCCCTGCTGGGCTTGCCAATCTATGTCTCGGGGTGCACACGTTTGCTCGTGCTGGACGGGCCCACGTACTCAACGCGGTTGTGGTGCATCATGGAGATCTTTTGCTTTGTCGTCCTCGGCGGCTCGCAGAACGACATCGAGGTGCTGCCGCTTGGGGCGCCGACGCCAGGGCGCAAGGTGCCGGCGGCGTCCCTCGCGCCCGGAGCGCCTCCGCCTCCTTCGCCCTCTTCTCCTCCGCCCCCTACACGACGCAGACCATCCACGTCGCCGACCAAGACGCGGGGCGCGTCGAGATTTGCCACACCGCCGCTTGGCCACACCCACCGAGGGGCGAGCGAGGTGGCGCGCAACTTTTGCGCGCGGCGCGCTCTCTGCTACCACGCCCGAGACCGCGAGCGGCTGCTGGGCGCGATCGAAGCGGCGTACGGCGACACAGAGCCGTTCGATGCAGCGGTGCGCAGCCTGCTAGACTCGAGCGCTCACGAGCCGAGCAGCGCCCGCAGCGGCGACAGCGGGGGAGGGGGCCAAGCCGGTGCGAGTGGCAGCGGCGGGGACGGCGGGAGAGGCGAGCGACGGTGGACCTCCTCCATCGCGCGCTACTCCTCCCTCGGCACGCACGCCTCCGTCACGACTCCGCGCGGCGTGTCGAGGCGGCTGGCGCCGGAGGGCGTCGGCGCGTCCTGTTCGCGAGTGGTCGTGTCCACTTGCTCGACCTCCGACTCGAATTCGCAACGCAGTAGCCCCAAGGAACGACGTGCGATCAGCGTCAGAGTTGAGATGCATTAAGGCCCCCCCCCCCCCCCCTTTCCGACAAAACGACAAAATCGCGGAACACTCTAGCCTAGCATGCTAGCAGAAAGAGTGGGGTCCGAATTGATGTTTCGCCGTATGATAGATGAATCTTTGATGGAAAGGCGCCTCAAATACCTCCGAATCGTCCGGGAAGCCCGGAAGGAGTTGACCGAAAACGCGCGCGCCGGCTGTGGGGCTGCCACAAACTCGAGACACGCTTTTTGGGACATTCGACGCTTTTTTGGCCCATAGGGAATACTCGTGCAACAACCACCTGGGTGCCCCCCACACACGCCAAAGCCATTTCCGTTCAGGCGTCCCGGTGTGTCGCCTGTCGGTGTTTAAGATGTGCGCTGCCCGGCGCCTCCCGCTCTCCACAGGATGCATCCCTACCTTGCTGTGAAAGGAATCTAAGGCTCAGCCGGAGCCTAACGCGCGAGCGGCGGCGGCCGTTCTGCTCCGTCACATGTCCGCCTCGAAGCCCATGTCGCCGCCGCCGCCCATGCCGCCATCGCCCCCCCAGCCGCCTCCGTGATGATGGCCGCCACTCATCATCTCGCCGACGACCTGTTCACAGCGCACGCCGTGAAGAGACGCCGCCCACAGCTGCCTCCCGCCCCTCCACCGCTTTTCCGGCCGCCATGCCGCCGACAAACCCAGCCGCCGCGCCTGCTCACACAGCTCGGCCGCGTGAACAGACGCCGTTCACGGCGCGCTCTCACACGCCGCCGCGCCGCGCCAGAGGCCATGCCGACACCCGGACCGCCGAAGCCGCCGCCGTACATCGGCTGGCTGTACATCGGGACCGCGGGCTGGCCGTAGACTGGCTGCCCTGGGTAGCCCTGGTATCCCGGCGGGGGGTAGCCGACGGCGGGTTCGCCATAAAACGAGCGCGCCTGGCGAGACGAAGGCTGAGATACCGGCCGAGGTACGGCCGAGATATGGCCGAGATATGGCCGACATGCGTGCGTGTGTGTGTGTGTGCGTGCGTGCGTGCGTGCGTGTGTGTGTGCGTGCGTGCGTGTGTGTGTGTGTGTGTGTGTGTGTGTGTGTGTGTGTGTGTGTGTGTGTGTGTGTGTGTGTGTGTGTGTGTGTGTGTGTGTGTGTGTGTGTGTGTCAGATGGGACCGAGGCGTGGCCGAGCTGTGGCACACAGCGCTGACCTCGTACTGTTGCTGCTGCTGCATGCAAAAGCAGCCAACGCAGAGGACGAGCAGGAGGAGGAGGAAAAGGCCCCCCGCACCGTGGGACATACTGCCGCTGCGACATTCTGCAGGGACGTCGTTATGCGCGGCACACATGGAGCAGCGGTGGCTCTTCGAGACGTACCTAAAGGAAGGCGTCTAGAGGGTTCCGGAGGGCTCGCTGCAGCACTGCTCGGCGCTGAACATTGTCTTACGCAGAGTTGGAGCAGATGAAGCGCATGTTGCACCGCACGCACGACGCGCCCATCGGACAGCAGCCCGGCGTCGCGCGGGAGCAGCAGATGCCAGGCATCCCGTTGAAGCCCTGCAGGCAGTTGCCGCCGTTGCAGCACTGGGAGCAGCCGGCAGAGAGGAGCAGCCGGCCGTGCTCGCCGGTGATGGGGTCCGGCGCGTGCGAGAAATTCTCCTCGACGTGGGCGGCCCTCACCGCGAGGAGCAGGGCGCTGAAGCGGAGCATGTGCCGGATCTGGGACGCCGGCGGCGTCTTTTTCTTTTTTGAAAAAATTTTGCGCGCCATCGTTTTTACTGAGTTGAACTCGCGCCGTTGCAACTGCCATGTCGGCCGGTCGGACGAGAGCAAGCGCTCCGCGGCGCTGAAGGCGCGTATGGAGCAGCGCGGCGACGGCGTCGACGACTCCCCGGCCGATACGGACGACGTCTCGACTGCTCTCAACCAGTACCTCTCAACATGCGACCGGAGCAGGAGGGGCAGCGCCGAGCCGTGGACAGAGCAAGAGGACCGGCAGTCGCGTGGCCGTCGATCGTGGAGGAGAGCCGGCGGTGGGCAGCGCGAGCAGACGCGGCGACAGACAGACGCGGCGAGGCTCACGCCACAGTCGAAGGCTGTCGAGGCGGCGAGAGAACGAATTTCTCTCGCGCGGAGCTTTTGAGGCGTCGAGGTCGCGCGAGCTCCGCCCCAGTTGATGGCAAAAAAATCTTCCGTGGGAGCTGCGCACTCGTCCCAGCCGGGGGGCCGCAGACTCTCTGCGTGCCACCGCCCTCCCCGCCGCCACCCTCTCCGCCTTCCCCGTGGCTACCGCCGCTCTCCCCTCCGCCACCACGCCCCTCTCCCTCGCCTCTGCCTCCCCCGCCACCGCCGCCGCCCCCCCCGCCACCTTCGCCGCCGCCGCCCCCTCCTCTGCCGTCTTCCCTCTCGGTCGCCCCCACCTCCGCCGCCCCCCTCGCCACCGCCGCCGCCCTCCCCTCCGCCGCCCCCTTCGCCATGCCATGGCTGTGCGGGGCGTCCGTGCTGCTGACGGCCGCTGGCGGAGCAAAGGTTAGGACAACGCCAGCCAGGTCAGCTGCTTGCTAGGCCTGGTGCGAGGCGTGACAGCAGCAGCGGCCAGCAGCGGAGAGCCGCCGACGCCCCCTCTTGCGGGCTGGGGGTGGGCAGTGCTGGCGGCGCTGACGCTAGCCTCGTTGGTGGCGCCGTGCAGCCGGCTGGCCCGGATCGCGCGGACGAGGATGTCGCAAGCACGCTGGAGGAGGCTGTCGAGCGCAACGGTTGCCCCCTCAGCCGCCCCCTCACCGCCGGTGAGCCCCCCGGAGCACGCGGGAGCCTCCTCGACCGCAGCGGACGACACGATGCCGGGTCTCATCGACATTGTCGACGTGGAGGACGGAGGCGACTGGCAAGTCGTGCGAGACTTCGCGGCGGCGCACGGCCAGCTCGGGGCCCTTAACGCCTTCCTCGAGTACGCGAAGGGTGCGGTGCAGCACGCCGAGGACATCGTGGGGCCCGAGAGCCTCGAAGGGATCGCGCGGGACACGAAGAGGAAGCTGCTCCGTTTCGAAGGGCGGCCGGAACTTGCGGAACTAGCGACGCAACTAGCGCGGCTGGTGCTACCGCACGTCGGCCTGGAGGGCAGGCCGGTCGGCGTCACAAGAGGCGACGGCAGCGTTGCGGGGGTCAGCCTGATCGTAACCTTGCCAGGGGCGGAGCGACAGCCGTCCCACTTGGACGCGAACGTGGAAGACGTCTACTCCGTGATCGTGCCCCTCAGCCAGCGGCGGCTACACGTCGTATCGCGGCAGGAACCGATCCTGCTCGGGCCGGGCGACGCCCTCGTCTTCAAAGCGAGCGAGCTGTGCCATGGCGGCGACGGCCTCGGACAGGGCGAGGACATGAGGTGCGCGCTCTTCTTCTACGTGGGACACGGCGTGACGGAGGATGTCGTCGAGCAAAGCTTCGAGTGCGAATGGAGGTCGCCGAAGCAGTGGGCGCAAGCCCTGCCCATGGAGGGGTTGGTGGCGGCGCTGCGGAAGCTCGAGGTCGAGAAGGTGGGCGAGGTCGTCGCCGAGCTACATGGCCGCTTGCTCACGGGGGACGCGGCGCAGCGGCCCACCCGGCGACGCGAGCGCACTTCCGCGCGACGAAGCAACTCGGGGCGGGCGCGGTGCTCGGCATCGACGTCGTCCACAAGGACGTCGAGCTGAACGACAAGGCGTGGCTCCACGAGGCGCAGGGCTACCTCAACCACCCCAAGGGCGCCATCACCCTCGCCACGCGCTGCGTCGGCGTGGGCCCTAACTCGGTGTGCATCTACCACCGCACGAGGCTACCGGGATGCGTCCCGTGCGACATCGGCGAAGCGCGAGTGCCGCGCACGCTGTCGCTATTCGAGCACCTCAGCGGCACGCACTGGGACGGATGCAACTACGGCGGCTGGTTGGCCACGGGGCACGCATCCCTCAACACTCACGTCACGAACGTCGCCCGCGCCTTCGGCGCCTCGGCAAAGGTCATGGAGGTGAGGCTCGGCTGCAGGGACCCGACGCGGGCGCACGATCCGGACACCAACCCGTACCAGCGGGGCGACGGCGTCTTCGGCAACTATGCAGAGTCGGCACGCGCCGTGGTGTACGACGGCACGTGCGTCACCGCGGTGCACCATGACAGGCTGCGCCCGCTGGCGAGCGGCAAGCGCCTAGCCACCGACTACGCCGAGGCGACGAAGCGGAAGGCCAAGGCAGCGGCGTGCGACGCCAAAAACTGCGACTTTATGACGTGGGCGGCGAGCACGCGTGGCGGCATCGGGCACGAGGCGGCGACGTGGTTCAACACCAACTTCGACATCAAGGCCGCTAAGGCGTCCTCCGACAGCGAACGATGGCGGGTCAGTAGCGAGCGCAAGCGCTTCCTGCAAGTGCACTCGACCATCGTCGCGAGGCGCAACGCCGCCATCTTCGACTACAACGCGTGGCCGAAGATGGGCGGCGAGATGCCGCGGGCGCCTCGAGAGCAGTATGAGTAGGGACGGGCGAGGGAGGAGGGGCGCTGACCACGGGCGACTACGAGTCGAAGGTTCGAGGACGACTACTCGCCGCCTGGGTCGTTTGGGGCGCGCGGCTCCGTCGAGGACCGGGCGCGCCCCTTACCCGGCGCGGCGTAGGTCCCACTCTGACGTATAGAGGGGAGGCACGGACAACAGCCCAATCCATCAATTCCACTCCTCTTCCGGTGCTTGGCCCCGTGCAACAGCGGTCCGGCAGGCTGCCCCCAAGGCCCCCCGGGCCGCTGCGGGTTTGGGAGTTATGCTTAGGCACAGCTTCGGCGATGGCAGCCCCTCTCTGGGGTGTTGCATAGGCGGGGAGTCTCCCCCGCTGGTCTCCTCCTTCCCATTTTTCTTTTCTTTTGAGAGCAGGACGCCGGGTTTGTCTTGTATGTGCATGTCGGGCCTGGGTGTGTGTGAGGGGCAAAAGGGGCGGGAGCGTGCGGGGCAGAGGCCCATAACGGCGAGCGGCTTGTCGGGGACCGGAGAGTTCGAGGCGGGAACGAGGAGGGGGGAATGGGCGGTCGGCGTCGGGGTAGCAGCACCAGGGCGTACGGGGTAGCCGTCACTTTCCTGCCTCACAAGGGCGGGGCTGTCCCGGAAAGTGAGAAACGCCGGGCAGCGTGGCGCATTACTGAACCCTCCCATACGTGTTTGGGGTTCCTCCTTTGCTGTCCCATCCCCTCATCTCTTTCCCGCCTGGGCGGGGCGGTGGGCGGGCGAGCGGTGCGGCGTGGCGTGTGCGTGTGTGCGTCTGCACCGAAGGACCGCTCGCAGAGGACCATTGGGTTTGTACTATTAACAACGAAGGCGCTCTCAAAAAAAACGCCGAAATTGAACAGGCCGCGGCGCGGGGTACATCTTGGACTGCCATGCTGAAGATTGCCTCGCTTCTGCTCGTCGCGCTGCCGGCATCTACCCTGCCGGTGCCCGCCCTGCTACAATTACTCACTCAGGCAGGCTGACCCTCACACGCGCACTCCGGCGTGCGCAGGCCGAAACTGTCGACGACATCAACCCGACCGCTCGCAGCACCACATTTGCGCCCAAGCCCCCTCCCGTGCCCGACGTGGTCGACGACCCCGCCTGGCTGATCGCCACCTCCGGCTTCTGCTCGAACCTCAACGTCGTCATGAAGGAGCGCGACGTCGAGGCGAGCGAGACGGAGGGCGACACCGCGGCCCACTTCATGGCCGACATCGCCTTCAACTACTACCCGCAGACGGCGGTCAAGTTTACCGATTTCCCTCACCACCTCGCGAAGACCATCGAGGGCGACGCTGCAGAGGCGGACGCGCTGGTCTCAAGCGCGTGGGACCACAAGAACATCGCGCTGCTCGAGCCGACGTCCACGTGCAGCCCGGAGCAGGGCGACCAGGCGTGGGGCATCTCGGTCTTCAAGGTGGAGGAGCACCGCCACTGCAACGACGGCGAGACGGCGTGGAAGGGGCACCCCTGCGTCCACTACTCTGGCTACGTCTCGGCGGCGACGTCCAATTTTGTCAACGTGAATGAGGGGCGGTTCGTCTGCCAGCTGTTCGTCGACTCGGGCGAAGACATGAACTGCGATTGCTCAGACATGTTTTCGATTGCACGCGTTCTCGAATGCCCACTGTGTGCTCTAAGTGGCTGAAAACACAATCAATTGTTTTTTGAGCCCCTACGCCCTCGGGACGCGCACCGCGCTACTGATCCCGGGCTACTCCGTGTTTGGATGCCCCTCCGAGCTACAAGGGTGTATGTCCGCTTTGCGCCATTGTTGTGAGTTTGGGGATTGTTGCCGCGGTTAGGCCGCCAACGACGTCGCTATCACCCAGGTGCTGAGCATGTCGGAGGGATGGAATCCGCGGGCGCAGCGTTCTTTTTCTTTTTCCGGTGTGCCGGTGTGTGGAGTGTGGTCCTCGCCAGTCTGCGCCCTTGTCGTGCCAGTGTGCTGTGAGAGAGGCTGGATTCTAACATTCTTTTTCCGAAGTATGTGCGAGTCCGGCCGTTAATCTTGAATGGATCACTGGGTATCAAACCACGGCTCCGGGCGAGAGAGCTGCGTCCTGTGATCGCTACGGCCGGGAGCACAGCTCTCCTGGCGACCGCCCTCCGCAGCCGCTCTGCGACCGGCCGGCTCCGGACCGGAAGCCGACCGAACGGCGAGAACGTCAGCGCGAGCGACAAACTGGTGCCGCTGCTGCTGGTGTGTGAGCGGCTAGCCTCCGCGCGCGGCCCTTCCGTATCCCTTCTCCTGCAGCTCCTTGACGTAGCGCGCGACTCTAGCGTCGCCGCCCGGGAGCGGGGCGACGCCGGCGCGGAGCAGCGCGCGCACGACGACGCGTCCGTCGTTGCTTCGCGGCCAGGGCGTGCCCGTGCTCGTCAAGAAGCCCTCCACGTGGAGCTGCCTGTCGATCTCTCCGACGCAGCGGCCGGCGAAGGCGAGCTCGACGACGCGCGCCTGTGGACATGTCTCGGACGTGTCATGGACGTGTCGCGGACATTGCCGGCGAGGGAGACGATGGCGATTCGCGCCAGCAAACGTGGGTCTTGCCGGCTCGGCGGGGAGGCGGCTGGGTGCCCCTGCTGCGGCGGCGGCCTAGGAGGGGGAGACTGCGCCACCGTCGCCGCCGCGCGCGCCGCCTCCGGCTCCTGCTCCCGCCCCCCCCGCTCCTCCTGCTGCTGCTCCTCGTCCTCGTCCTCTTCGCCCTCCTCGCCCTCACCCTCGGTGCCAGGCGAGAGCGCCTCAGGACAGCGAGCCAGCCCCTGCGGCCTCGGCCTCTGCTTGCGCGGGGGCGGCAGCGGCAGGGGCGACGGGGGGGCATTGGCCGCGTCGGCCCCGTTCTCGCGCTCTACGTCGGCCCGCTGCAGCAGCCCCAAGTTGGCCGCCTTGTCCTTGAGGTCGACGGCGCTGCGGCACGCCTAAAAGGAAACATGAGGGCGAGTCCGTGCTGCTGTGTCTCCCTTCGCCGCGTCCTTCGACGGCGCTTGCGACACGCCGCGATCACTCCGGGCGCGTCACGGCGCGCCGTGTCGAGCATCAGCTTCCACGGGCGAGGGCGCCGCTGCCGAAAGCCGAGCGAGCCGAAGAGCGACGTGATCAGCGCCTCCTCCGCCGCGCTGAACGGGAGGCGCGCCCGCCTCGCCGAGCCGGGCGCGGAGCCTGGGGCGGAGCCTGGGGCTTCGGACCCGCTGGCCGGCGGAGGCGAGGCGGAGGCAAGCGCCGCCACCGGCGGGCAAGGCGGCGCCGA